TTTTTTTTGTTAATGCAGTAATTAATGTAAATATAAATTTTAAAAATAATTGAAATTATACGAAATGTTAAAAATCAATTTTAATTGAAGAGAAAAGGAAAACTAAATTTAAATGGAATGAAAAGTGAGAGAGAGAGAGAGATGACACGCATAATTGAAGAATAAAAAAAAGATAAGAGAATGAAACGGATGGGATATTAGACCGCCTCCAACCGAACTGGAAAACGCAAAATAGGGAAGAAATTTGCTCCAGCCGATTCCCAAACTCAAACGCAAAATGCGTTTAATCCTCTTTTCTCTCTCCTATTGACGCAAATATGCGTTTGCACTTCAAGACATCGCAAAATTTTTAGAAAATCACAAATCAGTCCTCACTTTTTTTTTCAAATGTACAATTGGCTATGTATTAAATTTAGGGCTTTATATTTACAAAATACTATAACTATTTATATTAATAATGGTAAAATATATTTATTTACTTTATATTTAGTCCCTTTATTTAATTTATATTATATGATAATTAAATTAATGAATATTACTTATATATTTATTTAAAATAATAATAATAATGTAAAATAATATGAAAATTAATTTCATAATAATTAGATAGTATAATATTTAAAATAATAAATATTATATCTATCATTTAATTTTATATATTTCACAATAATAGTGTAAATATGCATATTATTTATGGTGCACTTATTTAACAATAAAAGAAAATACTAGCATTAAATAAGAACAACATTACGAATATATATTGAAATGACACAAGTAAATGATAGATCACGGTTTAAAGAAAAACATTTCAATAACTAGTGCTGAAATAAAAATACAACATCACAAGGTACTAAAATAAAAATACATCATAAACCCAACAACTAAAAACAAGCACGAATACTTAGTAATCTGGCAAGTTGGCGCCGCTTCCTCCAAGATCATTGAAAAATTGGCCAAATGCATTGGTTGGATATGGATCCGATTGGACTTGTTGAGCTCTTTTCTCCAAGATTCGTGCCTTTTCAGCTTCAATGTAAGCTCGAACTCTAGGATCTTCAATGGAATTGACATCTTAAAACAGAATTTTATTTTCTTCCCTCATTTCTTTTAAAGCTTGAGATCTATTGCGCA